TACAGATATCCTTCTGCAAACTTGGGGAAAGAAAAAAAAAAAAGCATCCCTAGTATTTTTCTGTTTTTACCTCCCATAGTCATTTTATTCTTCAGTTGAAAGCACACTGGCCTGATAGGGAATAAGGTTTTTTTTTTTTTTAATAATAATCACAATAACATTATCCTTCTTAAAATATATATAACATTAAATTTTCCATTTCAACCTTTTTTAAAAATTGAGTGACATTAATTATGTAACCATCACCATCATCTATTTCCAAAACTGTTTCCTCACCCCACACAGAAATCTGTACCCCATACATAGTAACTCTTGTTATCTTTTTTGAATACTCTAACAGTCTTGCCCCCACCTCACCCCCACTGGAGTGCAAAAAGAAGTGAATTCTTATAGAACCCTGGTCCTTTCCCAGGTATTTGGATAATATCAGAAGTGTGGCACCAGTTCAGCAGGGGATTAGACTTAGGGAGAACCAACATTTCTACCCTCCCAGGTATACCTCTATCTGACATGATGCTGGAGACCAACAGAGGTGATTTTTACAGCCCCAAAAGATGAAGGAACTGGGCACTGCCAGCTTGAATTCCCACCTGGTCCTGGAGGCCAGTGTGAAGCTGGTCTTGGCAAAAATGGAAGTACCATTGATGGGGAGACTGTAAGTGGAGGAAGAGTGACAGAGCCATCCCCAGCTGTGGAACTTCTGTTGGCTTACCCTGCAGTGACTCACCAGCTTATGAGCAATCCTCATATGCCTGATTTAGAGGACTTACTCACCCTTTGGAGAAAGACTTGAATGCAATAAAGCAAATGTCAGCAAGTGGGATGCAGCTTAGCACATCACCCAGCCTCATCCAGCTTTCCATTCCCTGCTTGAGGCTCCTCCAACCACTAAGCACCTGGGCAGGCCTGCACAATGAGCAGGCCTCCAGGACACACTCCAAGGGAGATCACAGGCTCAGCGATGTGAAATGGGACCAAGCTCTGGAGAAAACGTGGTCTGAAGAGGTTAAGGGATTAGTTCCATAGCACTGGTGTAAGGAACCAGGGTAAGAGCTAGAACCCAGGACTTCTCACACCCTGTGTACTTTGTTCCCCTGGAAGCCTTTGCTTGGATTATGTGGACAAGGGTAGACTGGAGAAAATGTGGCCTCCCCAGTCAGGGTGGCTTTCTCATTTATGAGCTTTCCAAGGAGCCTGTGCAGGGATCTGTGAGTTGGAGAAGTGAGAGGAAAGCAAGGTCCTTAAGCAAAGACTTTGAGGTGAAGTACTTGTAAAGAGCTGGGCTACGCTGGGTTCTGTTGCCATCTTGCTGTTGGCCTACATGGTGCATGTTGGGTGAACTGGAAGACTCTGGATCCTTGGTTTGAAAGGTATGGCGGGAATCCCCTCTGCATTAGGCACCAGCTGATTGAGGTATACAAACCCCAGCCAATCTCCCATACTCCCTGACCAGGACAGAGTCCCCAAGAGTTAAGCAGGAACAGAGGTAGGGCCAGTCATGGGGAGAAGTTGATCATACCCCTTCCTTCCTCCACCAACGCAGTGGAAATTACTCAGAAGGCAAGTTGATTCAGCTTTGGCTTTAAACCCACTCACTGAGGGATTTACCTAGGAAATCCTGAGGGAATTATCTGAAAGAATTAGTGTTTTGGTTACCAAGTGCTGCTCTAACAGAAATATACCACAAATGGGATGGCTTTAACAAATGAGTTTATTCTAGAAGCCCGAGTTCCAGGTGCCAGGCTCTAGGGGCTCAGTGAAAGCCCCTCAACCTTGGACTGTGGTCTCCTGCTTCCGGCCCACTAAGGCTAGCGGCATCTCTTTACTCAGGTAGCTGCTGGCTCCTGAGGCTGACAAATCCAAGGTCGATAAGTGAAAAGGCACAGTCCCGATATTACCAAACCACATGGAAGGCCATTGATTCAAATCCAATAAAAGTCCCAAGATTGGCAAAGCACGGCATGCTGCTGAATGAAAGACTCGGCTCAACGCAGGGTTCAAACCTGCCAAAAAGCTAGAAACCTTCCTTTAAGCTACTTCTTATACACTGGAAGCAGCCCACATCCCTAAAGCGGCTACTCAGCTGCTCCAGTAGATTCCACCAGGGAACTGATTGCCAGTCTCACCATGGGGAATAACTACATCCAGCTGCCCAGCCACTCAACCAGGCCCAGCCAAACTGATTACCTTAACTATCACAATTAGTTCTAAGGGTAAAAAGAGAGGGGACAGGAACCTAAGCTAAACCTTGATCTAGTTCACTTCTCCATCTCTTGGCAATTTTCCCCACATTTTCTGATGTCTATATTGTGCCAGAGGAGATCTGCTGGCATAGTGCCTAAGGCACTTGACTGCTAACTAGAAGGCTGGTGGTTCAAACCCACCAGCCACTCCTCTGAAGGAAATGAGGCAATCTACTTCCATGGTGATAACACCTCGGAAACCCAAGGAGTCGCCGCTATGAGTCGGATCCGACTCGATGGCAGTGCGTTGTGTTGCATTGTATACTGTCCCAGACGCTGGTGGGAGGAGGCCGGCTATAAGCTTGGAACTGAGGGCTGTTGGAATCAAGGGTCTTGAGCTTTAAGGGACTTTCAGGATTATCTACAGTTCACTCATTTCATAGAGGATGAATCTGAGATTCAGGCAGAATGATTTGCCTGGGGTCATGGAGTAAAGGGCCTACAGTGGGCAGAAGACATTTTATATTGTTTTTAAGATCACTAAATCATGAGCAGACATAGCCTCCCACCTACAGCTGTGCACCCCACCACCATCACCTTACAGTCATTTGGAAATAAAAGCCCAGAAGCAGGCTGGGCTCCCACCCCAAGGTACTTTGATCTTATTCCAATTCACTCAGGACAAAGGAGGAGAGCTTTTTTCCATTTAAACTTTTTATTTTGCACTATAAAAAACAACAACCAGTAACATACTGTGTTTTTTTTTTTTCTTTTTTTTTTCACATTCACATGGGTTTTAGGAAATTATTGCCTTTTCCCCTGGAGAAATAACCTATAAACAAAAAGAGTAGTAGTACCACGTTGTAAACTCTGCGAACCCCAGAAGTCAACAGCTTGAAGACAGCTCCCAGGGGCAGAGAAGAAACAAGGGTCACAAGAGACAGACACAAGCACATATAAGGACAACAAGTTGGGGAAATGATGGTTTTCAATGTCACTAACCATAACAGAGTAGGCTTCCTTGTTCTCCTGACACCCACTGCTACCACCTCAAAGGAGTGATTTTTGGTCTATGGTCTGCGGTAGTATTCAAATGACACAAGAGGGGCTTTGAGGAGAGGTGCAATGAGAAAGGTTCAAGTATGAGTAAGAATCACACCAAAGTCTAAGGTCAGGGAAGAACCCACAGTGAAAAAGAAAACCCAGAATCAACATTTTGCTACTTCAACCAACCGCCTCCAGTGGACTCAAAAGGGAATCCCCAGAACATTTGAGGGTTCAAACCAGCAGATGTATAACCCAATAGGCGGCTCTGAGCACCTCCCTGCATGTGGCCCGGCAGGGTGTCTGTGCCCAAAGGCTTCTATTACCAGCGAGCTAAGGGAAGCACCTCAATAGGAAAGCAATATTCCTATCAGGCTGGTTCACGCCAGTGGACCTACATACCGACTGGGGTGTCTTCCCGACTACATGGTGATCAGCTTCTGCCCTGAAGCAACAGAGACAGACACTGAGACCATCTAAGTTCAAAAAATAAGATGGAAATTGTGCTTCCTTCAAAATGAATTGGCTTGTAACTGCCTTTTCTCCTGGTCCAGCAACTGCATTCTCCCACGTTGCTGCAGGTAGTTATTGCCTTATGCTTGAAATGAAAAGGCGAACCTTGAGGTGTGAGGACTAAGCAATCCTGAGAGGGCAAGGGTCTGGAAGTACAGTAGTCAGCACATGCTGTGCTCGCATAATGGCTTGGCCTTCCTTCGGTCCCAGGAACCTATCCCCGAAGTCTGTCTGCAACTGGTGGCCCCTCACTATCCCACAAGGGCAGTGTGACAGGGTGAGGCCTTCAGTATTGCACAGGTATGAAATGTCCATGAGTTGAAAAAAGAGGATCACAGTTGCTCTAGGGGCTGGGCTGGCTTCCCATCCTGGATTTAGCAGGATGAGGCTGTGGCCACAGGGTTCCTGCTGAGCTCTGAGACCGGTGAGCGGGTGGGCACTGGCACCAGCACCGAGGTAGGAAATGTACAGTAGGAGCCCTGCATGTCAGGGCTCAATGTCTGCAAATGGTCCAGAAACGAAGAGCCTGCTGCCTCCCCTTGGCAGGAGGGCGCCTGGGGGGCGGGCATGGAAGGCAGAATCTCAGATTCATACTGTAGGAGCTGACCCATGAAGCCAAAGTTGGGTGAGACCACATTCCTCCTCTGCTTGATATAATCAAAGGCCTCCTTCAGGCGGAACTGCTTGGTCTTCATGAGGTAAGCCATGCAGATGGTGGGCGAACGGGAGATCCCAGCCTCACAGTGGACCAGGACCTTGCCTCCCTTTTCCCTGACACAGTCTAGAAGGAAGAAAAGCAGGTGGGAATGAGTTGGGCTTAGAATCCAAAGGCAATGCCAAGACACAGGAATTATGCATTAAAGAAACTAGTTATCAAACCATTTTGTCCGCTTAAGAACTGTGGTCTTATTAGTCCTCTGCCAGTCTGTAGTCACCACTGGTACGGACAAAGCTTTTGAAGTTCCACTGAAAGCTATCCCTTTGTAATTCTTGTTGTTGTTGCTGTTATATGCCATCGAGTCGGACCCAACTCATAGCGACCCCTCCTTGGGTTGCCAAGGCAGTATCACTACGGAAGTAGATTGCCCAACCTTCTTTCTGAGGAGTGGCTAGTGGGTTTGAAGCACCAGCCCTCTGGTTAGCAGTCAAGTGCCTTAAATACTATGCTACCAGAGCTCCTTTGTAACTCAGAACCTTTATAATCCTTACAGCTGCTTCTCAGTTCTCCAAGATGCTGGCAGCCACTGCTTTTGCCACTGGAGGAGCTAGACCTGAGTAACCCCTTCCTGGGGATATCATTTTAACTTGGTTCCAAGACCAGGTTTTCAGAGATCATTGGGAAATTTCTGAAAGGGGAATGTGCATTTTTCTGAAGGGAGGGTCCCAGGCTCAAAGACTGGCTGCAACAGCCCTTCCTCCTCTCAGGGTCTGATTCCAAAGGTGATGACCTGTCACCACGCTGGTTGAAGCCTTCCGCCTTCCTGGACATCCAGTCCAACTGTACCAGGGTGACTGTACCAGGGCTCAGGTCCCAGGGTTCCCACCACCAAGCATACAATAAATAGTGCACAGCCTCTAATTATAGCCCTGGTTAAGTGACGCTTACTGGATGGAGGATATAAATGGCCTTTGCAAACTACATTTTGCACAACAATGACAGTCATGGCTATAAAGCTACCACCACCAGTTAGCATTTTTCAGGTTCAGTATGACAAACAGGGGGAAGGACATGCTCCCCTTCTGCTCCCCAGATCTCCCTACACCAAAAAGCTACAATTCCTGAGGGCAGGCTGTTATTTTAAAAATGAGAAAGGTTAAAAGGTTGAACATACACGTATCAAATCAAAACCACCAAAAATACAGTCTTTCCAATTCCCTCTCTTGCTGTATGAGAAACATAGGAAGTTAGATATACCTGGCACTAGGGAAGGCCACAGTATGCAAAAATATTTAAGACTGTGCAACCACACAATAGACAGACCTATAAGGTGAACAGTAACATCAGGAGGTTATGCACTCATTACAACAATGAAGCGCATGTGATCAGGAGGACAGCATTTGCCCAGAGACAGAGCTAGGAAGGTGGGAGGGTATGGAAGGAAGAAGGGAAGGGGTGGGTGTAGGGAGGAAGTGGGAAGAATGCTGTTACAGTGTGAGCATTGCAGTAAACGTCACAAAACAGAATGTGTACGAATTGTTCAGTGGAAAACCAATTTGCTCTGTAAACTTTTACCCGAATCACTAGAAAGTTTAAAATAAATAAATAAAGGTTTTTGAAGAGGGGAAGAAGTTGGCCCCTTCCCTCCCCCAAGTTCAAGAAGTCTGTAAATGATTCTGCAAGATCCAAAACATAAAATTTCTGAGGGGTCGGAGAGGAGGCCTGGAGCTTCTCTTTCTGAACCAAGACCCCAAAGGACATCCCAGGGCAGCTCATTAGAAATGCCCCCGATTCAGTCTCTAGCTCAAGGCAAAAAGCTCTTAGAAGTAGTTCAAAGGGGAGACCAAGTCCCTAGGACTACAGGGCCGTGCCTCCTTTACCGTCTAACTTCTAATTGCCCCCCATGTCACATCCAAGAAAGCAAAGGGCCTAGACTGCACTGCTTCTGGAACCCACTCTAAACCACAGAGACTCGCCTTCCCTCTGGCCCAGCACACTGCCCACTGAGATGCTCATCCCTCCTCCCACCAGCCAGGCATCATGAGTCTGGGAAAACACATGCTGTGCTTTCAAAATGCCATGGGTTTGGGCGGTTGTGTACACAGACACAGACAAGATGGGGAGGGACGGTTCTGAGGAATGGATGGGGGCAGGTTTAATGACCTAATTAAGTGGCTATCTAGGTAATTAAATAACAGGCTGATGAGTGCAAGGCCTTCCCAGGGACAGGGAGGCAAGGCAAGGATTTCCTGTCCTGAACCCATCATCTTGGTGGCCTCTAAGAGACTCCAAAGCAGTCATCGGCCCAGAGGCACAGGGGACGGGAGGGCAGGCTCTGCCCTTGGCCTCTGGTGAGTTTCTCAACAGGGTTTCCTGTGCAGCGGAAATTGTGTGTGATGGGCAGACAGCGCCTACCACTTGGCTGAAGGGAGCCCTTTAATTGCTACTAGTAATTATTGCTGGGCCTAGCACCTGCCTCTTCCCCGCCAATATCCCTCAAAACAAAATACAGGAAAATCATGTCTCCATTTCAACAAGCAAGTGTGTGGAAGGCAAAGATGACTCTAGAAAGGGAGGCATGCCCATAAGGCTGAGGAGTGGTGCTTGCAAATTTCGAACAGAAAAATGTCACCCAGTCCCTGAGGGAGAGAGACGGGGACAAGGGAGGACAGAAACCCTAAGCCCCAAAGCCCTTTCTAGGCAGAGGGGCCAGAGGCCAAGGCCTTGGCTTTCGGATGTGTACGACGGGCTAAAGGGTGACTGCCTCACAGAACGCAGAAAGGATGCAAAAGATGCCAACTTCCCTGTGTGTAAAGCATGGAGCTTGAGTCAAGTGCTATCTTTAATCCAAAATTAGCTGAAAACACAAAACAAATTGCCCCCAAGCTGTTTGCCAAAAACCGTGGAGAGCTGCCGGGCTCTTGGGGCTCAGTGCGTAAGTAGTGCTCGTTCAGTCCTTCTGTCTGCTTTTAAAAATATCCCAAGCTACGCAGAAGCACATTAGGGAGGCTCTCCCCCACCCTCCTCACGTGCAGCCTTAAGTGTGGCTGTGTTCTCTGCTCCCTGCCTAGCTAGAAACAATAACAAAAGCGGCAGTGAGGACTGCCATAAAGATATATTAATTCATTTATCTTGCAAATTAAAACTCCTATTAATAGCAACTTAAATCCTCCTGTCTTTTCAGTGGCTGTGGCCCATCTTGGCTCCAACCTGGTGGTTGTGTAGACAAGACACTTCTGCTTGGTGAAGGTAGTGCCCATCAGTACATCAAAATCCAAGAACCCATGCCCTTAGGGACAGGGGCTGGCCGACCTACCAATGAAGTCGATTGCTTCCTGAAAGTGGGAGCTGATGTCTGCTGTGTGGCTGTCCTCCACGGGGATCCATTTGTAGTGTAGGTGGGTGGTGCAGGCCTCGGAAGTGCGGCGGGAGACATTCAGCAGGGCTGTGATGTGCAGGTTGGCGAGGAACTCGCACTTGGATGCGTGGTAGGCACTTCCAAGGTAGAGGAAGGGAAGGATTTCAACCGGGCTACCCTGTAGGGGCGGGCAAAGGACACCAGGAAATATTGGATTAGCTTGCTCATTTGGGAGAGGAAAAAAAAAATAACACTGACCTATCCGTTTCCTAATGTGGGAGAGGTTCCCTTTTAGGATTCCAGGAAGAACTAACTGAGAGACCGACTTGGAGTTCTAGCTGCCCTGAGAAGACAGGGCAAGTCCTTGAACCTTGGGGCACCCTCGATTCCTTCATCTGTAAAATGGCACTGCATATCTGGTATATCATCAATCAAGGAGCCCTGGTGGCACAGTGCTTAAGCACTCAGCTGCTAACCACACGGTTGGTGGTTGGAACTCACCAGCCTGTCCACAGGAGCAAAGACCTGGTAGCCTGTTTCCATAGACATTACAACCCAGGAAACCCTAGGGGCAGGAAAGCCTCTGTCCCGCAGGGTCCTATGACTCTGAGGCACCTCGGTGGCACAATGGCATCCTCCTAAGATACTTCTGATCCGAAAATGCATACAGATTTCAGAGATGTTAAAATATAGCCCCCTTCCCAGAAAAAAAGTATGTTTCTTAGAAAAGAACCACTATATACCCAAAATCCTCAGGTAAAGTGATGTTTTTAGGCAAAGGGCTTCTCTCACCCCTGACCTCCTTCATATGGGCCTTAAGGTATTGGAGTGACATGTTTTTGAGAGGCTACCCACACACCAGATTTCTAATTAAAGAGACACAGATTAAGGGAAAACCAGAGACTGTGTACCCTGCTGCAAAGCTATAGAGAACTGTTTGCGAGTTAAACTTGGCAGTCTTAGCCTTTACAGAGCTCTAAGGGGGCAAGAAAAGGCAGTGATAATTGGACAGTGAAAGTCACTGGCGATTTAGAGGAAAACGCTGGTCTGGGGACAGCTGTTGTCTCCTTGGAAGCCCTTCCTGCTGCATCCATCCACTTCCTGTTTCCACTTCCTCTCCTGGAATAAGAGTGGAGTGGAAACTCCAAAGTCCTCTGCCAGACCCGTAATAAGAGGGGGTGTGACCAGGGTCGGCAGCAGGCGATTTTTACTTTACCTCACACGTGTTACCTACTACTTCCTGAGAACAAGTATTTAAGCAAAGGCCAGTTTGGCCACTTGTTAGAATGTTCTAGAGGATTTTACATAGGGTAGTAACAACAACTGTTATTTTTATTAATACCTACTATAAAATGAAAACACCCTGCCATCATGTCGGATCGAACTCATAGCGACCCCTCCTTGGATTTCTGAGGCGATATCACTACGGAAGTAGATTGCCCAACCTTACTTCCGAGGAATGCTGGTGGGTTTGAACCACCAGCCTTCCTACTATGGTTGGACTTAAGGAGCTCTCGTGGCTCAGTGCCTAAGTCATGTGACTGCTAACCAGAAGGCCAGCAGTTCAAACCCACCAGCCACTCTGCGGAAGGAAGACTGGGTAATCTACTTCCATAAAGATTTACCACCTCAGAAATCCAAAGGATGTCACTATGAGTCAGAATTTTTTTTCATGGCTGGGCTTAAGGAGCCCTGGTAGCACAGTGGTTAAGCACCGGCTCCTAACCAAAAAGATGGTGGTTTGAATCCACCAGCCACTCTAGAGGAGAACGATGTGGCAGATCTACTCTGTTCTGTAAGTTTGCTATGAGTCAGAATCAACTCAATGGCAATGGGTTATGGCTGGCCTCAACACTTCAGATGTATCTGCATAAAACCAGAACTACTCACTGCCATCGAGTTGAATCCAACTCATAGTGACCCCTCCTTGGGTTTCCGAGGCAGTACCTCTACAGAAGTAGATTGCCCAGTCTTCCTTCTGAGGAGTGGCTGGTGGCTTTGAACTGCCAGCCTTCTGGTTAACAGTCAAATGCCTTCGGCACTACAACAGTATAAGTAATATACCAGACAATGTTTCACGGCTATTCATAAGGTGTTCAGTGGCCATTTGTTCAGAAATGCATGGCCCTGTCCTTTTTCCTACTTGTCTTATCCTGGAAGCTCCTCTGAAACCTGTCCACGTAAGTGACCCTACTAGAATTTGAAATACCAGTGGTATAGCTTCCAGCATCAAGCAACACACAGCCACCACATACAATGAACTGACAGATGAGTGGATACTTTGAAGACTAAGGTGCACCTGACCAAGTCCATGGTATTTTCAATAGGCTTATGCATGTGAAAGATGGACAATGAATAAGGAAGACCAAAGAAGAATGGATGTATCTGAATTATGGTATTGGCAAAGAGTAATGAAAATAGTGCCATAAGCTCTGGTAGCATAGTGCCTGAGGCACTTGACTGCTAACCAGAAGGCTGGTGGTTCAAACCCACCAACCACTCCTCGGAAGGAAGGCTGGACAATCTACTTCCGTAGTGATATTGCCTCGGAAACCCAAGGAGGGGTCGCTATGAGTCGGGTCCAACTTGACGGCACATAACAACAACACTGAAAATACTATGGTCTGCCAGAATAATGACCAAATCCTTCTGGGAAGTACAGCCAAGTGCTCTTTCGAAGCAGGAATAGCCAGACTTCATCTTACATATTCTGATGATGTTGTCAGAAGAGACCAGTCCCTGAAGAAGGGTATTATGCTTGGTCAGCAACAAAGGGGAAGACCCTCAATGACACGATTGACAGCAGGGACTGTGAGGATGGCGTAGGACTGGGCAGCGTTGCGTTCTGTTGTACACAGGGTCTCTATGGGTCAGAGCTGACTCGACAACAACTAGAACACACAGTACCAGTATCACAACAAATCTGTGAAGCAGGTAACATTATCTCCATTTCACAGATGGGGAACTTGAGGCTTCCCACCCCACCCTGGAAAAATGAAAACCACTGCCATCGAAGTTGATACCAGTCTACAGTGACCCTGCAGGACAGAGCAGAACTGCCCCACAGAGTTTCCAAGGCTGTAAATCTTCATGAAAGCAGACTACCTCATCTTTCTCCCGTGGAACGGTTGGTACATTTGAACCACTGACCTTTTGGTTAGCAGACCAATACTTTAGCATCTATGCCACCAGAGCTCCTTACTTGAGGCTCAGAGGTATTAAAGCAGAGCTTAGAACAGGTTCAGTCTGGCTCGATCCCCTGCTGAGAATCTGCATTTCCACTTGGTATACTGAGTAAGAAGCTACAGTTTAACAGATCTGCAGGTGACTCTCACGTATACATTAAGAGTCAGACTGAGTTAGTGGTAGAGACTAAATTCAAAGCCAAATAGGACTGGTTAGCATGTCATTTCAAAACAGTGATCGTGATGAGAAAGCCAGTGTTTTCAGTAACCACAGGAAGGAAAGAATTCCCTCCCCTCCTCTCTTCTTCTAGAGAGAAAATTTCCATTTGCATCCCCTCCCTCACACCTGCCCACATACAGAAAGCAGGCTTCCTGGGTGCAGTGCGGTTAAGAACCTGGGCTTGGGTGTCAGACGGAGCAGCTCCAGGCTGAGTCTCAGCTAAAGGCTACTAGCTGTTGTGCCCCTGGACAGCTTCTTTAACCTCTGAACCTTTATCTGTACAATGAGGATAACAATACCTACCCTCCTGGGATAACTGTAAGGAACAAATGGGATAGTGGATACATTAAAGCCTGGTATGTCTGTAGCTGCCATTACCATGCAGAGGATGAGGAACAAACACACACATACGGCACAGATACTGAGCTAGTCAGTCCCAGCAGGTCTGGGCCTGGCCTGAGCTGGACCCCCACCCCAGGGCCCAGCTCCCCACTAGTTAGGAATCAGGAACCGCTAGTTAATTTCCAGTAGCGTGTAATGGAAAGTTCTTTGGGAAGAGGTCAGAGGACCCAAGTTCAGGTTCACTGAGTCACTAAGCAGCCATGGGACCCACCAATGGGCACCCATAGCCTCACCCTCAATGGAACAAAGTGACAGTTGACTCAAGACCTCGCCGCCCTCTCTTGAGTGCCTTAAAAACACTGACACATCAGGCCTGGGATCCTGTCCAGTTTCTTCTGGCGCTTAGCCCAACACACCCCTGAAACCACGTTTCTTTCCTTTTCTGAATCTCCTGTTTAGACTCAAGAGGAACAAGTCAAAGTTCCTCAGAAACCCCAAAGGTTAATGAGACCTCGCCTGTTTTCTCTTGGCGCAGAAATGCTTCTAAGAAGTGGCACCAGGGAGTTCCCCAGATGAATCTTCAAGACACATCAGGGCCTCCCCAACCCTCAGTGGCCAAAGGTCCTCTGTGCTTTCAGACACCCTGTCAATTCTCGTTTCCCTTTCACTTTTGGAGAAACAAGGAAAAAACACAACACAAACAAACATACAAAAATAGAAATCTAACTAGGCCAGATCTCATGGCTTGAAACCTCCAGGTTCATCATAGACTGGGCATCCATGTAATAAAGGGAAACAAACAAAATACTAACTCTGGAAACTTGTTGAGCTAAGCGGCCTCCTGACCAAGGATCCCGTTCAAGAAAGGGTGCCAGGGCTTTATTCGGGAGTCACCCCAGGGGCACAGTTCTGCTCACAGGAGATGGCTGGCATTTTAGGCAGCATCAAGAAGTCTTCTTTCTTATGATTTGGATATTCTCCTGTCTTGTGGGAAAAGTCTGAAAAGTTCCTTCCACAAAGTCAGAAACCTTTTCCACAAAAGGGCCATGTGGAAAAGGGAACAGGTTCTGAAAAGAGCCCCACCAGGGCATTAGGAAAAGGGGGTTCTGGGTCTGGGGTTGGCAAAAGCCAGCTGTGGGGGTCTTTGCAAATCAGTCATCCTCCACACCATGGAACAGTTTTCTTCCTCTGTAAAATGGCAAGATTGGCTTTGATTTCTAGTTTCTGCCACATCTGAGTTTGCATCTGCCTTTTCCTCATCTTACTGTATCATGGTAGGTAACTCCCTGACCACTGAACTTTCCACTTTACTCTTTCTTTAATGAATTGTCATGAAGTACAATTTTTTGAAAGGGGGGGGGGAGCCACAGATGTTTATAGGAACATGAAACCCTACAGTGTTTCTTGATCTCTTCTTGTTCCAGAATTTGTGGAATTACACGCATCAGAAACTCTTAGGAGTTCAGCCATCCAAACGGTAGGTCATCCTGGCCTCACTCCCCCGTCTGTTTCAGTTAAAAGTACCAATGAGACACACCTTGACAGGTCCTGGGTTGGCTTACAGAAACTGCAGAGCATGAATAATTACAAAAGCGACCAACACAGGAAGCATGAAAGTCAGCTCTGAAATGTGTTCAGGGAAACCTAAACCAATATTCTGAAGCTTCTCTGAACCTGCCAGGCCAGCTGACACTAATGCATCTTTCACTTCCCTTTTTCTCCAGAAGCTGTCAAGCATCCTGTGGCTCGTTTACACTTGTCAGCTCGTTTGCTGGAAGGAAGCCCATTTACTCTTGGATAGAAACTCAAGTTGGCAAGCACAGAGGCTCTCAAAACTAGAGGATTCTGCCAACGCCCTGGGCCACCAAGGACTAGCCACCACGTCTGAGTGGGGTCAGGAAAGGCCAGGGAGGAACAGAAATGTACCTGGTCATAAGCCGGCCTGTAGTTGATGTTGAGCACTGTTTTCCCACACTGGCTGAGGAGGGCTTTCTCGGTTTCAATCTTCTCTTGTGAAACAGGTTTTACGTCCACGCAACACTCCGGATATTCTGAGTAGAAGGTCTCATATCCCCCTACACACACACAAAAAGTGAGATAGACTTAAGTATTGATTTCTCAGCCTGTCGGAAAATATTCATAATTTATCAATAAATACCCTGAGTGCAGAATGAAGGAGCCCTGGTGGCGCAGTGGTTAGACACTTGGTTGCTAACCAAAAGGTCGGTGGCTCAAACTCACCAGGCTCCATGGGACAAAATGTGACAGTCTGCCTCTTGGGCACCCTATGAGGCAGTTCTACCCTGTGCTAGAAGGATAGTTATGAGTCAGAATCGACTTGATGGCAGTGTGTTTGGTTTTCTGGGGTGAGTAGAACAGTCAAAACCATGAAGCTAATATAGATTCTGGTGACATAAAACTAAGCAAAACCAACCAACAGTTTTGAGTACAGATGTCTCTCTAAAAACACACACACTCTCTCTATTGCTCATACACACCTAAAAAGCTATAGTTCAGAGAGGCAATCATTAACTTTTTTGTGTCTAGCGGAAGCAGCTTAAACCGAGAAAGGAAATATCAGACATCTGGCAAATATTAACCAAATCTCTCCAGAGGACAAAAGCTATTCTCTCCTGTTTACCTAAAATGAAGGTGTGATTATGCCGAATTTCATTAATCTCTGAGAAGAGAGTACTGAGCTCGTCCATTTAGTCCCCAAGCCCTAGGCTCTAAGCAGGTCTATGAGTAGAACTGCCTCCATTCAGAAGGCGATGAGGGCAAACGTGAGGTTTAAACTCAGAAAACAGGACAGCCTTACCCCTTCTCATCCTTGAGGTGCTAAAAACGCTGCTGACCATTCTTCCAACAGGTCCAACTCACAGAAGTCAATCTAGTTAATCACCTTCCAAAGCAAACTGGATGTGCAAGACTTCTGCACTGAATTCTCAGCCCCCACAATCTCTCTCTCCTCTCGATGACCTTTCTCATGCTCATCTTCATCTTCATTGTCTCCTTTCTCATCCTCCCTTTCCCATCTTTCTCCTCACACACCCCAAATCAATAAGTCTATTACCGGTAAGCATACTCTAAGAATCTTTAATAATATTTTTAAACTTCTTGAAATGTGTCATTTAAGGTAAAAAGTACTCTCTGCCCAAGTTGCAGAAACCTGCATACATAAGTGCTCGCAGGACCATTCCACTCAGTGGGAAAAGAATCACCAAGTAAGACCATGTGAACTCTTGGAATGTCAAGGGCTGCTGGGTGAACAGGTCAGCCTGGCTCTTCCACAGCACCCAGAAAACCCACTTTTGTCTTTTCCGGTCCAGAGAATTCAGTCGTGTAAAATCAATTAAATATGCATTCTGAGCCCTGTGTCGCCTCTGACGCCTCCCTATTCTCTTCTGCTTTCTGGTGTGACAACCCCTCAGTGGAACACTTGGGTTTTCTTTAAGCCCCTACAGCCAACAAATGGTTAACGGATTGGAGGGCAGTCATCAGCTCTCTCCCTCCCAGAAGCTGCAGCCAATTCCTAGAGTGAGTCATCCTGGCACCAGGCCCCCTCTCAGCTCCCTGACCCGGCCCCCTCCTCCGCCCCCGTTTCATATACCCAAATCTCCCCTGTGGTCACTTCAGTAAGTCACCCACGGAGCCTTCCTGGACAAGCTTCTGGCCTTCCCCCTCACGATGACAGGAAGCCAGGCCGGATGGGGTGGTTAGGAGGTAGTGGAGGTGTGTGTGGTCCAACTTCCCTGCCCCCCAATAACTCCCGGCCCCCTTCCTTCCTCAGAAGCAGTTGAGGAAAATGCCACAGGAAAGAGAAGCCTTCAGGCCACCCCTAAATAGACCACTGAAGAGGGCTGTCAGGAGGGCAGATGGAGGGGAAGGTGTGGGATGCAGCCTGCCTGCCTACTGACAAAATAGCAGGCACACAAATAGTCTCAGAGCAGGGGAGGGACAGAAAAGCAGGGCCCTGTCTCGGCCACCTGGGGTCAGGAGGAGTCCTACAGATTAGATGGTGTTTGTCTTTCACCCACTCCCATCAGAGGCGTGGAGAGAGACGGAACATTCCTCTCTGGTGCCTCACTTGAGTTGCAAGAGCAGTGGTGATTCTTACGGCCGGCCGCTTCAACCCTCTTCAACCCTCTTCCGAGTAACTCTGCTTTCAATCACCACCTGATTACCAGAACAGTGACAGTGCACGGGTGCTAAATATAAATCCGGACCGACAGCTCGATTTGGTCACCATCCTCTCATTTCAGTGGACTCCTTTTTTTTTTTTTTTTTAAGGGCAAGAGGAAGAATGGAGAATAAAAGGCATGGCCCCAAGATCTGAGGTACTACCAGCTTAAGAACTGAAATCATATCTGGACATAAGTCCAGTAAGGAAATTAAAAAAAAAAAAAAATTGGCAACAATTTAAAAGTTTGAGTGTTACAAGGGTCGCTATCAAGCAATTTCTACTGAAACTGTAAATACACATGAACTCTGACCCTGAAATCTTCGTGATTTTACTGACAAACAGACCGAGCACATGCAAGAGCATATGGAGAAGGTATCCTCTGCCCCATTGCTTCAAATAATGAGACTGGAAGCGCCCTAATGGCCATCACCAGGAACTGGCTGAAAAAGTGAAACGGACGTGTATGTTCTGATATGGAGGGTCTCTAAGATCTGTGGGTGAAAGAGGCAGGCATAGGGAATATGTGAAGTCATCTCATTTTTTAAATGTATTCGGGGCAAATTAATTTATCCAAAGGGCGTGGGGTCTAAGGCGTGTGGACCTAAGACCTGTCTCACTGTACAGCTTTTTACACGACTCAAATTTTTATGTGTGGCTGTTACCTTCACTAAATACACCACCACCTTAAACCTATTGTTTCCTGAGATGCCAGTCTAAGAGCTGCTTGCTTCCTGCAGCAGTAACTTTTCTACACAGTCAGCATGACCCTCTCGGAGAGGGGTGGGAGCACACACAGGATGAAGGGGAGCTTCCTGGAACCCATCTTTCAAGCTGCCAGAGGAGGCAGAAGCTTTTCCTGTACTCAGGCTGAGAATAGAGGACAGAAACCACATCAGAGAGAGAGAGAAACCAGGGACCATGTGTGAAACTTCAGCAGAGCCTGGAGAAGGCCACTCCTCTATCTCCCCACCCCCAGCTGAGGCTGCAGGGAGATTATCACCTCCTACCTGGTCATCCATCTACCTAACAGCAATCAACAAGGGCCAGCAAGAGGTGCTAAGGGCAGTGGGAGCTGCCCACACGCCTCTGGAATCTTGCCCTGAGTGTGTAAAATTCCCCCTACATGGCTTTAAAATAAGGCCCTGACCAAGTTCGTGGCGCCTGAGTTCTGAACCATGCAAAGGGCAGGGCTTGTTTCTCCAGCCTGCTCTTCCCCCTCACTGTTAGATGCCAACAATCTGCATCACGTCTAGAAGCACCTTCGGGTGCCCCCAGGTCCGAGTCCTCGTCTCCAGCCGTGCCCCCTATACATCTGAGGTTACAAAGGGCTCAGATACTCGGGGGGTGGACAACCATAGGAAGTGACCCAGAAATCAACGCTCTGGAGATTGGGAGTCAATCACCCACCCACCGCCGGAAGCCTAAATCTTCTCCCTCCGCAGCAGGTGAAATGCGCAGCCTGTCACTTCTCCTGTCGCGACGACCTGCTGCACGGCTTCTGGGGTCTCCAGTCAAAGGCCACATAATTCCCCCCATCACCACCGGCCTGGAGGCGCCCCTCGCAGGTCCTGACTCACCGGCTGGCCAGCCGGGAGGTGCGCCCCAGCCTCTCATCCTGGACAGGCAGCAAAGGATCGCCCCCCCACACACACACACTTAGTTCCTGGGTCTCGGGAATGTTCCCAGGGAGTGAGAGGGAGGGGTGCAAAGGCTGGAAAGGCTGTCAGCTCCGAACTGAGCTCGCTAGGGAAAGGCCGGAGGAAAACAATAAAAAGCAATAAAATGAAATGGAAAGGGGGAAGGGCTCACCAGGGTCAAAAAGGCAAGAAGGGTGGGCGAAGACCGGCGTAACCTACAGTAACTGTCCAGGCACCAAAGGGGACACCAAGGCGCCACGCTCCTGGGGGGTAGCGACCTCCTGATCCCTCCAGAGCTAGCAGACAGATTCCGAGTCCCGGCCCCAGGGAGAGCGGCGGAGCCCGCGCCCAGCACGAGCCGAGGGCCCCCGCACTGCTAGGGAGTGGAGCCCCCCGCAGCACAGCCTGCCACTCCCCCCCAGCCCAGCGCACAAACGGCCCCACGCTTTCGAGGAACGCGAGCGGGGGCGGGGGTGGGTAGCAGCTCCAGGCGCTGACGTTTGCAGTGTCCTCACCAAGCTCCCGCCAAGCCGCGGTGAGCAGCCACAGGCAGGTGGAGACTTTCCCGGGGCCGGTGTCTAGCAAGGTGCCTCGCAGGGAGGGCACCTTAGTGGGGGGATAGAGCATGGGTGAGGGGGCAAGGGACCCGCGGCCCTCGATGCGCTCACCTTTGAGGAAGTAGACCCGAGGGCCCGCGGGCAGGCAGGCGAGCAGCGAGGTGAGCACGACGCGGGCGGCGCTCTCCTCGCGCAGCTTCTGCCAGTGGCGGCTGCCCTGGTCCAGCACGACCACGGCCGCCACGCCGCCGCCGCCCTCCTGCAACAGCCGCGCGCGCGCCGCCTCGTCCGGCAGCACGTAGCGCGCCGGCACCGCGCCGCCGCGGGCCCGCCGCAGCACCACAGAGTTGAGGTTGACGTTGAGCGAGCCGCGCACGCTCGAGGCCGCGAAGGCCAGGTAGGGCCGGCAGTCGAGTACCACGCAGCGCGCCGCTGCCTCCTTGCGGAGCATCTTGCGCAGCTGGCGCCCGTCGAGAGACGTGACCTTCATGCCGCCGCCGCCCAGCGGCCTCGCGCCGCGCGCCGCACAGGTGCCCACGGCCAGGATGCCCGCTGGCGAGGCACTGCGGCCGGCTGACGGAGCCCGGCGCCGGAGCGGCCGCTCTACTCTTCTTTCCCTCCCGGCACGCTCTACAACCTGACCCGCCACTTGCCGCCCCAGAAGCCGGGGATTCCGCCGGCGGCGCAGCGTTTTATATGAATGAATATACAGCTTGTGACGCGCCTGCCCATATAAGGCCAAATATGGGTATTTCCCCGCCCCTTCGGGCTTTAGCCACGCCCTCCGGGGCGGGGCGCGCTGGGCGGGCTCGCAGTACCTTAGTCAGCGCTAGGAAAAGGAAGTGAAAGCGCCTCCTCCGGCTGCCGGCGGCGGTGGGTGAAGGGACTCACTCGCGCATCACCGGGACCGCGGGGGTGGGGTGGGGGGCTGTCAGCCCCCCCACCGCGCCGAGGTGACCCACGCCGTGCGGGAAGCTGAGAAGGCAGGGTTGGCGCGGCACAGTCGGGCTTTCAGTTTAAGAGATGTTGGGAGAACCAGCCAGGGCCTGTGCCAGGCTCCGCGCTAGGCACGGGAAGGGGAGAAGGAGAGGTCTCCCGAGATGAAATCAGAAACGTATTACGCGTGAAATCAGAAACGTATTACGCGTGAAATGAGCCGATGGCTGCGACTTGTTTCAGGGGGTGAGTGGTATAGGTAATACGACATCGGACGTGTGCTGGTAATTATTCATGCTGAGTGATGGGTATCTGACGGTTCATTATACTGTTTTTTTTTTTTTTTCACTTTTCTGTATGTTTGAGTATTTGCGTAATAAAAGTTTCTAAAAAATGTTGAGAGTGAGAATGGTTGCACAACTCCGAGAATGTAACATGTCACTGAACTGTACATGTAGAAACGGTTGCATTTGTGTGTATTTTGCTATTAACAAGGTGAGAGAACAGAAGCAGAGATTAATCTCCCCAAGTGGATTCTGCCCTCAATCTGCAATAAGAATAAAGTGATTTTTCAGGGGCTCTTTTGTGGTCCCTGGAAAACCTGTTGTGAAGTCGGTAGCAGCATTAACATGCATCCCACGATGGAGCCTGGCCTAGCCAATTGTTGTCCAGGTGGCTTTGGGATTTGGGGGATTATCTGTGGATCAAGTATAATCCCAGGCTGTCTGCCCCAGGCTGGCCCCAGCAGCTTCAGGCCTCCCCACACTGCCATTCTTGGGGAACTGGACACCATTCACCTATTCAGCAAATATTTATGGAGAGTCAGCCTTGTGCCAGGGCTTTGCCAGCTGTGGGGAGATAGCAAAATGGAAACATGCCCAAGCCGTCAAAATCACAGCCCCCCATTTTGTTAGTTTTGGGGTGAGGGGAATGCTACTTGATGGAAAACAAGCCCTAGAGAGGGGCTTGTTCACAGCTGACTAGGGGAGCAAGTCTGTTAAAAATTAGCAAAAATCAAATTTTGAAATCAAATACAGTGGAACAGGACACCATGATAGCTGGCATGGCCTCTGACAGCTGCATTCAAAGGCACTGTCTTTGCCCCAGTGGCACAAATGGGTAAGGACTGCACTACCACTGAAAGATTGGTGGTTCGAGTCTCCCCAAGGGCTGCATGGGAGAAAGAGCTGGTAATGTGCTCCTGTGAAGATGACAGCCAAGAAAACCTTATGGGGCAGTTCTGCTCTGTCACCTGGGGTCACTATAGGAACCAACCACACCTTTGCCCTGCCAGTGGGGTCTTGATGAAGACGTGATTTGGGGTGCCCAGCCCAGCGTCACACTGTAGGGTCCTATTTAGCTAGTGCAGGAGAGCACCTAGGGTGTGTGCGGGGATGGAGGCCAGGCACGACACAGGCTGGGGGAGGCTTCTAAGAGCAGACGAAAGCCAAGGTAGTCTTGGAAGAATTAATGGAGGCTAGCTCAGCCAAGAACGGGGGTGGGGGCATTCCAGTCAGGGGAAACGGTTTGAGGTAAAGGAAAGAAAGAAAGAAAAAAAAAACCCCTAGCATGGTATGCGCTGGACGTGTGTGGGAGACTAAGGCACTTCTGGCATTTATTAGAATATTAAGCAGGGTCAGGTGACGGAGGGCCTCGTAGGCCATTTAAGGCATTTAGAGCTTATGAGTTTATCCCTGGACCAGCGCAAATCCCTCCCCCAGAGGCCAGTGACCCAGTCAGGTCAGCGTTTGGGTAGATCACTGAGGCAGCACTGTGAAGGGTGAGTCTTTTGATGAGAAGGTGGGAGTGGGGGTGGGGTCCAGACCAGAGTCAGGGACGGATAAGAAGCTTTTGTGGGTCATCCAGGCTAGAGCTGATAAGGACCTGGGGAACTTGGCAGTGATAGCAGCAATGAAGACACCACACAGATGGGAGGAACATTTAGGAAGTAAGTTGCCGGAAGGGGTGGGATGGGGAGAGAGGAGTGGAGAGTGACTCCAGGGTTTATAGCTGGAGTGACTGGGTGAATGGTGGGGCCTGTAAGCACGGACCGAGCAGGAAAAGATCTGAGTGGGCTGCAGTAGGAAGGAGGAGGAGGTACATCTGAGACATACCAATGAATTAGAATTGTTCCTGGGCCACTGAAGGGGCTGCCCAGGAAGCAGTAGCATGGCCTGGCCACCACCACAGGAAGGAAAGCCCAGCAGCTGGATTGCACCTTCTCCAGCAAATCACCCAGCCTGCCTCCAGATCTCTCTTGTGACCTGCCTTTCCAGTCCCATGGCCAGCATGGGCTTCACAGGTGTGCCCCCTAGATTGCTGCATGTGTCCTTGTCCTTGAGGGGCTCCATGCCTGGTTTAATACTCTGCTGTCACTATCTGGAAATTCTTGATGATTTTTGGACAAGGGACCCTGCATTTTCATTTTGCACTGAGCCCTGCAAATTATGTAGCCAGATCTGCCCGTGGTTATAGAGTCAAATCAAACCCACACCAGTTGTCAGAGTTCCTGCTGACCCAGGGTGACCCTATGCAGGTCAGAGGAGAACTGGGCTCCATAGGGTTCTCAGGGGCTGATTTTTCAGAAAATCACCAGGCTTTTCTTCCGAGGCACCCTTGGGTGGACTCGAACACCCAACATTTCCATCAGCAGCTGAACTCATTAATAGTTCACACCACTTAGGGCCTCAGTTTGGGTTAAGGGTCTCATTATCTCTCCACTGGGCCCCGGAGTGCCATCCTGTTTCCTGATCTCCAAGCCTTCTCCTTGCTCTCTCGTCCTCCGCACAGCCGTCTTGCTAAGCGCAGCTCTGTGCACGGAGCCTGCCTGCTCTGCTCCAAAAACCTTCCATGGCACCTATTCACGGTCTGAAAAAAATTCAGATTCCTTAGTGGAACACAGAGGACCAATTGGCCATAATCCACCTCTAACCTTGTCTCTCCCCTTCCTCTTGTCTCTTCACACCTCTCCCCCAGTTCCAAGCTCCAGTCTCACAAAGCTGCGTAAGTTTGCCCTGAATTTTTCAGGACTCAAGAACCTCCTCGTTCCTTTGTATAGGGATCCTTCTCCACCTTCACATGCCAGCTCTAGAACTACTGTTGCACCTCCAAGAAGCCACCCCTTAAACCCTTAGCCTATTAATCAATCATCCCCCTGGGGGTTCACCTGTCACCTTGCAGTTGCCTTCTGAGCCATGTATTATCTGTCCTCCCATTAGCCTGCAGGCTCCCAGGGCAAGATCTGGGACCCTGTCTGACCATCTGTGCTTCTTCACAACATCCAACACATGGTGGTGGTTGTTTGGTGCTGTCCAGTCTGTTCCGACTCATAGCGACCGTGTGTGCAACAGAACAAAACCCCCGCCTGGTCCTGTGCCACCCTCACAGTTGTTGCTATGTTTGGGCCCACTGTTGCAACCATCATGGCGATCCATCTCATTGAGGGTCTTCCTCTTTTCACTGCCCCTCTACCAAGCATGATGTCCTTTTCAGGGACTGGTCCCTGCTGATAACATGTCCAAAGTCTCACCATCCCCAAACTAAACTCACTGTCATGGAGTCGCATCCGACTCATAGCGACCCCTCCTTGGGTTTCTGAGGCGGTATCACTACGGAAGCAGATTGCCCAACCTTCCTTCTGAGGAGTGGCTGGTGGGTTTGAACCTCCAGCCTTAACAGCATAATTCAGATGCAACAATTCTTCTTCAACACACGGTAGGGCACTCAATAAATGTTGCCGGAATGGAATGTAATTCTCGTGGAGACGTAAGGGCAGCCAGCATTTTGGGAGGCACCTGGGGAGCGAGTTGGCAACAGCTTAAATCAGGGTCTCGTACACTGGGGAGGGGGCAAGGTAGGAAGCTGGGGGTGCACAGGAACGGGGATTAGAGTTCATTGGCCACAGGCCTGGGAGGAAATAGAAGGGGATCCCAGACTGGAAGAGCTAACACAATCATCATGCCTGTCTCCACCACTGCCTCGGGTTAGAAGTGAGGGTGGGTTCAGGGGGAAAAGCAGAATTTAAATTAATACAGTATTGTGAGTTCCTGGGGCAGGACCTTATCCTGTTCACCTTTCTCCCCCTTAGTCGGTTATTCTCAGAGGAGGGCAAGATCTTTATAGGTTTCTTGATCTTCATTGGACCAGTCATCCTAACTCCTGTGCCCTGGGTTGTCATTGTCATCTAGGATTTTTGTTCTTTGGAGGGTCACAGATGCCCTTTTAAAAAGCTGTGGGCCTTCTCCTTGGAAAACTACACACACAGCCTTTGGCTTACAATTCCAGGAAGTTCGCAGTCTGGACAGGAGCCTGGGGACGCCTGCAACTGTTCCTGGCCTTCGCAGCCTGAGTAGGGGCTTCTGGAATTCCTCCCAGCTCCTCACCTGTACAACCCCACCCTAGGCCTGCTGCTTCTCACCTGCCAAGTCCTTCTCAGCCCATAAGCCTCTGGAGCATCCTGGGGCCACGTGTCCCGTGGGTCTGGATCAGAGGTCTCATAAATAGCACAGCAGGGGCCCAGAACAACCACCAAGCCAACCTGCGGGTCCCTCCACAAGTCCCAGACCTCTCAGAAGGATGCATTTTGCCCTTCCATTTATATACAACATTTATTCTTGATTATGAAAGGAGCTCTGGTGGCATAGTGCCTAAGGCATTTGACTGCTAACCAGAAGGTTGGTGGTTGAAACTCACCAGTCACTCCACGGAAGGAAGACTGGGCAATCTACTTCCATAAAGATTTATTGCCTTGGAAACCCAAAGG